ACACGTTTAGATTGAATGGTAATTTATAATCAATCACAAAAACGTCGAATCTGAATCACTTGAAAAAAACACGGGGGTGCTTAACTTTTTTCCAGGTGTATACTATGGGACTGCTCCCTCTCTACTGTATGAAAATGAATTGCACCAGAGCATAGTAACCTTTTGATATTTTGCACTATGATTGGCTCCGATTCAACGAGATACTTTCAAATCAACATAATACTTATAAAAATACAGGTAGCCATATTATTCTTAAAAGTATTATGGTAAATGCACCGATGGCTTCCAGGATAGGAATGCCAAATGTGAAAAAACAAAAGTTTTGGGTGGTGAAAGCTATTTCATGCAATGGACTGAGGCAAAATATTATGTTCCAGTGGGATATATGTTGGAAGAATGTATGTAAAACAAATACTGTTGATAATAGAAGCTGTTGAGGTAGCAAACCTGCACCCTTCAAAAGTAATATTAAGTAACTCAGGAGATGCTGTTTTACATGGCTATCCAGTAGAAATCTTGCTAAGAACAGGTGTGAATGTTACCTCCAGATCAGTAAAATACAAATCAGTACAAGTTGGCCTCAATCAATATATAGCTGCTTAAAAACCAGTGCTTAGGAAATTTAAGCCAAACCAAAAGGCTGAAATGAGCATCAGATATCAGACAATGAGACATGCAAAGCTGGAGGAGAGTACCTCTTTACAAATAAAACAAATTGTTTGGAAACAATCAACAAGCATTTGTTCAATGACAGAAAGGAGAATGTTCATGCAGTCAACATACAACATCTACAGTGAAGCATTCTGGGAGACCAATACAAGTGTGAGCTAAATCGTTTTGGAGATCCACATAAAAGTGATGGCAACCAGACTGCTGACAGATAACATCATATATTTCCATTCTCATGAGAACAAGATATGTTTGGCTGCCAGTTTTGATTTCATTCCCACACTCAATCCCTTTTTTGGCTACACCTTTTTTTCCACATTTAAGGTGTTTTTGATCAGACAAAGGGACACTCACTACCATGGCTTGGCTTGCACAAAGTACCAGTATGAATATTATTAAACCAATATAAGCTTATATGGAAACTGAAAGGTAAAATGGCAACCAAATAACTTTTGCTGAATTGTGAGGAGTAATAAATAATGTTCGGTATATCATTACACAATCATATATTGATAAATTTATGTCACTTAAAAACAAGGTGTAAAACTGTTTTAAAGTAGATAGAGAATATTAATGCATTGCACAACTTGTTTGCTTTTTGCTTGTATTTTTTGGATTAACATATCGTGTTGATGGTAAATTAATCATTTATAGTTGCACGAATTCACTGTTTATCACTCCTGTATGTGTATCATCTGTGTGTTTCAGTAATTATCTTCAATATTGCAAACAAAATGGTAGTTTGAAGCCAAAATAAAAAGAAACAAAATTACTGTAGTCTTTTCTGTTTATATAGTTTGCTCATTATACATACTTATTATTATACAGAATTAAAATTGGCAAATGTTTTATCATGAAAGTACGAAACTCTAGAACAAGTCTGGAAAACTTCATTCATCAGCTTTCCCTACTTTTGATTCTAGACGTTCATGAAGTTTTCCAGAAAGTTAAAAAATTTTCAGTACCCCCAGTCTTTGTTGAGCAATACAAAAAAAATTGTGCAAGTATTATTTTTTTAGTTGCATGACTGTGAAGAAGAAATTCTGGTTTACATATATTTATAAAGTTTGATTATCAAGAATGTAAGATATGATTTAAAATCATTTTCAAAATAACTTGTATTTTGCCACTAAGAGAAACAACTCCAAAATCCTAGCACTAGTAAGAATTTCAATCTGCATCTATTTATTTGAGGCAGGTACTTACTTCTAGTAGCTGTAAATAAATATTTATTCTTGAAAATATGCCACATCAGCAGTGAATAAGAAAGAACATCAAGTTAAAAAATAACCTCCTCTAAAATCATCTAGTCATTCTTGTTCCTACAGTTCATTTTGTATAGTTCAACTCAGAATGAAAGTATCATCTGGCATCTTCTGCTTTTTGCTATTTCTCAGACATTGTCATCCTTAAAGGTAACACATTTTCTAATCCCATGTAACCAACTTGATGTGTGTAACATTAGAAATAGCCTGATCTACTTCCTGTATTAGTTGCTTCTTTCTATAGATCTAATTAAACAATAATAATCACGGTGTAATAGTCTAGGGTTAATGTAACACAAAAGATATGTGAAATTCAACCGAAAACACTTGAGTGAAAAAAGGTTAAATTCTGCTTTAGCTAATAAAGCAACTTGGCATTACATTGCATCGTGTTATTCGTGTACCGTGAAACTTGTATTTACATTTCATTTGGCTCCTAATTCAACTAAGAATTATCACTGAGTTACAAGGAACAAAATGTGATGTGGTGAATTGAGAGCTAAACTGGATGTATTACAATTAATGCAACGTGAGTAATGCCACGTTTGTTTATTTTGTTGTGTTTGTGAGATATCATATACTGTTTGAGTTAAAGTAAAAATTTGGATTTCTGTTTTCACTCAAGTATTTCTTTAACAAACAAAATATTTCAGCTTTCTCTAACCTTTAACAAATTTATATTTTTCAAATACTCCATCTTACCTGTCTTGTGAGTTCTTTGGCATCTTCTGAACGTCTCTCCGATTCTTTCAGCAATTTCCGTAGCCTTAAAGCCTATAGGTAAAAGACACATCATAGAGATTTAAGTACTGTTTAAAAATTTATTTACCAAAACTTAAATACACACCCATTTTCTGCTAGATATTCATGAATAACAAATGCAGCTACAGTATGTTAAAATCTGAAAACACAAAGAAATGGTTAAATACACTAACAGAAAAAAAAGCATTGATGCACACCTTAAAGACTCAAAAATATTGAGAAAAGTAGCTACTTTGCTCTCTCTGACACCTCAGTCCAACCACAAATCACCATTGGGCATTGAAGCTGGTTTGTTGAATTTCAAACATAGCTATTTGAAGGCTATGTACGTTAGCCGCTATTAATTTTTCAAGTGACAGGAATTTGGTTCGTCAACACCAACTTCAGGGCTACTCTTGTCAGACCAAATTGTGGGATTTGACTATCACTCTTGTAACATATTAACAGCCCCAGAGCACAGTTTTCTAGCAGTAATAAAACGTGAACCTCAGTTCCACATTCTGGCACCCTAACCATTAGGTCGTGCTTGGCACAAGGCATTAACGTAAAATGTAACACCGAACAGCCAGCAGTAAACATACTTTTCCATATGTCAAACCTATAGATTTTGTAACAGTCAGCTGCTCTGAACTTGTATTTATACATGCTTATAGTAGCAGTGAAATAGTACTTTATGGCCTCAGCAATCACGAGAAGTCATTAAGAAAATACAAGTAGAAATAGTGAATCAGCTTAATCTTTTTTGAATAATTTTTGTTATTATATCAGATAGTTTTGTCTGGTACTTAGTGACAACTGCTGTTGTTAACTTTATGTATAAAAAAAACACAAACAGAACCACATATATAGTGAAGAACATGCTTATTTTCAATAACATTGAGGAACATTATTACAATAATAAAATAAATCAGCAATGAAGTAACATTTACAGTTAAAGTAAATCCTGAAACATATACTTACAGTTAAAATGCTCATCATATAAAGAAAGTAACCAGATACTTTACAGTTAACCGAATGTTGACAGGGTTGGTTCAATGGACTAACCTTGTATTGGAGAAGAAATTTTGACTATAATTGCAAATTTACTATGTATATCTACATGAAATGTGCAAGTTTTAGTAAAATGTACAAGTCTGTTTTACATAAAAATCAGATATGTTACAAAAGTATTTGTACTCAAGATATGTCTGTGAATTAATGACATCAGTCTGACTCAGGCTCTGACAAGTCAGAGTGCTAGGTGAAAAACAGAAATACTTTTGTCTATAGTACAATTTGCATATTGCATTTGTATAACCTCTGAAATCTCTTAAATGCATATCTACTGTTTTTGTCAGTATTCCTGTATATTGTACAAGTGGACCTGCATTCTTCTTTAACCTGAAAAATACACACACACACACACACCTGTAAAAAGTGCCAGGGTTTCATTGGGCTTCTACAAACTGTATTACACAATGTCATATTTAGTTTGGGAAGACGTATAATAAATGTTTCTGGAAGTACACTAGCTATATTGCCTATAACCTCTACACACAACATTAGCAAAAAACATGAAACAAGCTACATATGAAAACAGAACGTGTGCATGTGATTGGCAAATCAGGTGCTCATGCTTGAATAAATACTTTAACTATACAAATATGGTGTATGATTAAGCTCATAATGTTATTTAATTCTGCTACATTAATTAAACCTCACTGACTTTATGTGCAAACATTCTGAACATAAGCAACACCAGTAGTCTTGCATCAAAGTAGGCATGAAAAATTCACCAAAATTAAACAGATATGTTTGTTTGTTTTGAATTTCGCGCAACGCGACACGAGGGCTATCTGTGCTAGCCATCCCTAATTTAGCAGTGTAAGACTAGAGGGAAGGCAGCTAGTCATCACCACCCACCGCCAATTCTTGGGCTACTCTTTTACCAACGAATAGTGGAATTGACCATCACATTATAACGCCCCACGGCTGAAAGGGCGAGCATGTTTGGTGTGACGGGGATTCAAACCTGCGACCCTCAGATTGT